TATTTTTTTATTTTTTATTTTTTTTTATTTTTTTTCCTACTTGCTTTGATTCTGTTTTATCTTCCTGTATTTTAATCATGTAAAGCACTTTGCATTGTCTTTGTACTGAATTGTGCTATACAAATAAATTTGCCTTGCCTTGCCTTGCCTAGAGGGGTCTGAAAAGTGGCTAAATATAGCGACTAAAGCGCTAAGTTGGCAACACTGCTCTTTGCATCGCTTGTTTTCAAATGGTTTGCTGCTGTCTGTTTGGACCTTTCTGAACATGTGCAGCAAATGGACTGATCCAATATGGTGGACACTGCACTCTGATGGTATGTTAGCGAAAGTATTTCTATCAAAAACATAATTAATCTGCTTAAATAAGGAATAGTTGTATTAACATACATGTAAACAGAGTTTTGTGGGGCCTCCAGGAACTTGGGTCCCTAGGCAACTGCCTAGTGTTGCCTAATGGTAAATTCCCCTTGGATGAGGAAGTTCCTGAACGCATCCCACCAACGCAGCAAACATCGGTTACCTACGGCGCGAGGCCTGACGTCTCCAATCCGTCTCGTCATTGTGAACTTTTCCGAGCCCGGGAAGGGAGGGAGCAAGCGGTCCGCTTTGTCTCCGGAGACCCGTCATCAGAAAGACTTAAACGTAACATTCAATCTTAACTCAATCTACTCCAGGCGGTCATTTAAATCCCTTCTTAGTTTTGCCGTCATTATCATCCCTGAGGTTGACTTTCCTCAAAGAAGAAAAAAAATATGTTTCTCTTATTCAATGTCTGGGAAATCGAAATGAGAAAATAACTGGATTAGGGACTTGGGAATCAGTGCAGCCTCCTAAATCATGTGCACATGTCATTATGAAGTATTAAAGGTTTTTGGTTTGACTGTGAGTGCGGGGGTGTGTGTGCTGGCTTTTTTTTTTCTTCCCCCTGCGTGTTATGGGTGTGCTTGAAAACCTGAGGGATGGAGAGTGATGGAGGGCTGGAGGATAAAAGCAGGTCTCTGAGGAAATAAAGCCAGTGTTGGCTTTAAGCAGAACAGACCTCATAAGACACATAGTGCTTATGCGAGGCAGAGTTAGAAGGCCCAGAGGCGCAGACCTGAGGGGAGCAGGCCACATGGGACTCTTACGCGCCTCCACTCACTCCTTAGCTCCAGTAAGAACCCCGACGAGATAGGAAAGTGAAATCCAGGAGGAAACAGGAGGGAGATAAGAAACGTAGCATTTTAAGGAGGCAAGAAGGGAAAGAAAAAAGGAAAGAAGATTTGAAAGAGGAGCCAGATTTTCAAAAAAAGAGAAAAGGGTGGAGGGTGAAGATGGGGGAGGCAAGAGACAAAGCAAGAAGCAGGACTTTTTTTTTTAATACCGTGTTCCAGGTAGGACGGCGTTCCTTCCGAGGGGTCGAGCCGCCGAGCCCGCCGACCGTGCTTGGAGTTGTTATGCACAAACATGTTGTCGGACACGGCCAGGACGTGACCCTCAACGCTCACCGTAGTCGACACAACCACCTGACATACAAGGAGGAGAAAGGAACTGCTGATTACCACCAAACATTTAAACATCACAACTTTCTGATGTCTGGAACATTTTAGAGTGAAATGTAAACTTTAATCATCGATTAACGTTTAGTTTTTCTGATATCAAGGTGGATTATCAAGCATTTACGGTCATCACTGTAATGATGATGCTATAATCTTTGGATCTGATTGCTTTATTGTGCAAAAAATGTCTCGGAACCCAGACTATCCCACAATGCAAAAATAATAATAATAATAGGTGCGTTTTCACCTGCTTTCAGCAGATAAGAGAATTTGCAAATGGAATCAGACGATTTACATTCAAAATAAGAAAACAATCAACTCCATTAGCTTATTTCCAGTGCATAATATCTTATTCTGGGTAAAAATACTCCTTTTATTTGCAGAACATCTTATTTAGTTGCTCAAATTGAGATAATTCATGGTTTTGTAGAGCAGCTTCCACCACATTCCCACCTACACTGCAAAAAATGGAAATCTGTATGAGTTATTTTTGCTTAAATTGAGTGAATTTTGTCTTGAATTGAGGAGATAAGTGAGACACCTTGCCA